AGGAGCCAGTGTAAGAAGAATACTACCATAAGTCAGCCTCCATGAAACCAGTAGTGGTTGGTGTTGAGGTATGCCCACCAACCCCCATCGTGAAAGTCCCAAGAGCTAGGTACAAAATGACAAGCACACAGAGTCTACGTGACAGGGAAGCTGGATGGCCAAAGGTGCAACTTTGTCATAGATTCTGCATCTCAGCAAACCCTTGTGAGTATCACGATGCTGGATCATAAAAAAGTACCAGAAACCATACAGCAGCTTTGTGGTGTGACAGGATATTATGCAAGGTTGTGGGGACCAGTACGGGTAACTATTGAGCTCATGGGCATAAAGGACAGACACAAAGTATACTTGGCTGACATTGAAGACCAATGCATACTAGGGTTGGACTACCTACTACCGAGGAAGTTTGTAATGAATTTTGATAAAATGACGTTTGAGAACAACAAAGGCCAAATTCCGTAAACTGTTAAAAGAGAAGTTCAACTAACTAGGTGCCATCAAGCTGAAGTCAAAGTGACTGAAGGAGTTGATGATGGTAAAATGGAACCAGGTGTAGATATTAAATCACAGCAGGAGAAATACCAAGATTTGAAGCCAATAATTGATGTTTTAAAAGCAAGTGTTTTGCGCCCTGCTCAGGAGAAGGTGTCTAGCTTAAGCCTTGTGACAAAGAACTATTGGGCACAATGGGACCAGTTGAAACTTGAAGATGATATTCTTCTCCGGAGGTGGGGAATTGCAGATAAGAAAGTGACGACCTGGCAAACAGTTATACCGAGAAAGTTACGGGAAGTTGTACTGCGTCAATTCCATGATAGTGTTGCGTCAGCGAGGTCACGTGACTAGTGCCACGCCCCCTGCTTTCTGGAAATATCTTGTACCTTCGTGAATTGTCGGGAGATTACTAAATATAGGGTAGTCTGGTGACAACGTGACGGGATAACAACGTGTGTGTAGGTAGTGAGTAATTGAACTGCACTCAGGAAGTATTGTTGAAGTTAACGTTCGTTGTTAAAACGTTTGTAAAAGAGCGACTGTTGAAAATAAGTGTATCGGTCAAGTTATATTCAGAAAGAATAAACCAGTTTTATTAAGTAAGGACTTGTGTCGATAAAGTTTCGTTGAACGAAGTTACGGAAAATCAATTAACAAACGGAGACGTAACAAATTGGTGTCAGAGAGTGGGATAAAAAAAAATGGCAACGAGAAGCGACAAATCAAACTAC